GCATAAAGTAGAAGCAGTGACAGTGCTGGATTCTGCACTGAGATGGAATATTCCTGGGCAGGAGTGTAAGTGTGGAGAGGGGTGGCTGGAGAGCAGCCCTGCGGAAAGGGCTCTGGGGGTGCTGGGGGCAGCAGCTGAGGAGGAGCCAGCGGTGTTCCCTGGCACCAAGAGGGCAACCCCCCCATCCTGGGGGGCATCACACACAGTCGAAGCAGGCGGCCAGGAGCGGGGCTTGTCCCGCTGTGCTTGGCGTTGGTTCGGTCTCCCCTGGAGCACTGGGTGCGGGGCTGGGCCCCACCGTTGGAGAAGGATGGGAAGGTCCTCGCATGCCTCCAGAGGAGGGCAACCAAGCTGGTGACAGGGCTGGAAGGCATGTCCTTCCCTCAGCCGGGCTTGCTGAACCCCCCCTGCCCTGGTGCCAAAACTGCTGTGGGGGGACAGGGGAGGTGGGATGGGGAAGGTGACCAGGGTCCTTAGGCCTGGATGGTGGCAGAGGGGGCAGGGGACCATACCTGGTGGTGGGGCCTGGGGGGCCCATGGGGCTGCCCCCACGGGGGGTGCCCAGGCTGCGGGGAAGGGCTGCTCCTGCCCGGGCAGTGGAGCCAGGGTGGCTGAGCCTGGAAGAGAGTCAGGAGCGATGGCCGCGGTCACCTCCTGCGCTCTTGGCCCCAAGAGCGTCCCCGGGCTGTGGGTTGGGGTCGGTCCCTACCTTGCGGGTAGATGGTTTGGGGGAACACAAAAGTCGGAAGCATCCGGGGCGCTGCAAGGGCCCAGGGGCCGTTTGGTGGGAGCCACAGCGGTGGCAGCGCCATGGTGGGTCCTCTCGCCCTCTCCACTGCTAAGGACTCTTTGGTCACTGGGGATGGAATGTTGGGGCTCCCTGTGGCAACCCCCCCACGCCACCCCACCCCTGCTTCTTAGCAGCCTCCCCAGCTCTTTTTGGGGAGGGAAGGGTCTAAGGGGGAGTCTAGGTGCCCCTGGCGCCTATCGGCCCCTACCTTGGGGCTGGGGGTGCAAGTGCTTTTTGCTTTAAACAGTATTTTTCAGTGGGGGGAGGAAGAACAAGTGGATTCAGCCAAGGTGTATGAGGACCAAGGTGCAGCCACAGCCTCCTTGTGTCACTCACCAAATGCCTTTGTGACCGTCCCCTGTGCTTCTGCATTGACTGTAGTGAACCAGAGACCAGGGCAAAGGACCTCGAGGGTGTGAGGTTAAGGTCAGCGTCACTCGGTGTCACGCTTCCCCCCAGCCCTCCCTCAAGTTGTGCCCTCGGGTCCTTTAGTCTCCTGATGGGGAAACAAGCAGCTCTGGGTCCCCCTCAGAGGGGGCTGTGCTTTCCCTGGGTGTGTGACACCCGGGAGGAGAGGGTACCTGGAGACGGTACCCGCAGCTGCACGCTCCCAAAGAAGGCCTGCACACCCTGGGATGACGAGATGCTGGGTCTGTTTGTGCTCTGCGGAACCCCAGGGACCGCATTAGTACAGCCCCTCCTCGTACTGGGGAGGATTTGGCACCACCAAGGACACCCCGGTAGGAGCAGAGGCCTCTCGCTCCTGCTGGTTGCTGTCGCCCAGGAGGCACGGGGGACCATGCGAAAGGGGGATGCTGCCGTGCCATGACCCCATGTTGATGGGGCTGCAGCCTGCCTGGAGGACAGCTTTAGGCTGGTCCCTGCCTGGGGAGACTCACAGGGACGCAGTGACCCCCTCTCTCCCGCAGGTGAACTACCTGACGCGCGACTGGCGGCTGACACTCTGCGCCCTGCAGTCCTCGGAGCTGCTGGAGGTGAACAAGGAGGGCACCAAAGTCTGGCAGCGCGTCCCCGTCCCCGCGTCCCTGCCGAGCATCCCCCCCAGCAAACTGCTGCTGGTCTGGCAGATGCTGCCCCAGGGCCAGGGGGTGCTGCCGCCGCTCCAGAAGAACTTCCTGGAGACCATCCTGAGGATGTTCAGCCCCTTGGACGCCATCGCCTCCATCCGCATCCTGCGGCCGGGCCGCAAGCTGCCCTCGGCTGTGCGGAAATCCACCTGGCGCTCCCCCGAGCTGCTGAGCAAGTGCTGCGTGCTGGGGGAGTACGAGAGCCTGGAGAGCGCCCGCAGGGCCTTGGAGGGGCTCGGCCGCCAGAGCCGCCCAGGCGGCGAGAGCAGCAGGGGGGAAGAGCTCCAAGAAGAAAGCCGGGGCCGAGAGGGAGGCGGCACAGGAGCTGGTGGACCAGCTGGGTTGGAAGGCGCAGGCGGCAGGGACATCCCCCTACGGCATCGGGCACTGCCTGCTCCGCAGCTCCCTGGAGCCGCACGGTGCCCTGGAGTTGTCATCCCTCCTCCGGAACAAGGAGCCCTCGGGAGCCACGTGCTCCAGCGGTAACTTCAAGCCCATCGACTTGGGCAACACTTCCACCGGATCACTCCTCACCAGCAAAGTCTTTGGTCCACTGGGGACAGGCGTGGGCACCGGCGGCTGCTACGGCCTCTGCTCCAGCCCCGAGAGCCCCTGCAGCAGCGGCTGGGGCAGAGCGGGGGGTCTCTGGGGGCCCTGCTGCAGCAGCCCCACTCCAGATGCCTGTCCTGGGTTGAGAGACACGGGTCTAACTTTTCTTCTAATGCTGGGGAAAATTGCCCTTTTAGAAGACTCCAGTGTCTGAATTTGCAAAAATATTTGCTTTATAGCCAGCCAGGCTCTGTGCGATTCAAGGTTTTAGTGTTTTCGAGCCTTGCCAGGTGCAGGGAGAAGGGGGAGCAAGGCCTGACCCAGGCTGGCCAACAGGATTATTTCTTCGCATGGACATCACATTCCATATAAATTGGAAAAGTTTGCTGCAGAGCTCTCTCTCCCTTGATGGCGGCGGGTCCAGACAACTCCTTGCCCCAGTGCCGGAGCCCTGAGCCCTTCCCTTTCTCCTGAAGCCCTCGCGTTGGCAGTGTCCGCCATTTGCTGTCCCTGCTGGGAGTGCACGGCTTCCTGCTGAGAGAATGGGCTGAGTATAATTCTTGTATATCTTACATCAGTGTTGGGATTAATACTGGTTCTTTAGAATTATTGGTAATTATTTAGTCGCAGTCTATTAAATCGATTTTTATTACAACCCTTGTGTTTCTTTGTGTTTCCCAGTTCCCCTTTCTGGGTGGAGAGGGGTCATCGGGTGACGGAATAATTGTCTAAAAGACAATAGATTGTTATGGGTTTTCTCAAACCATAACAATGCCAAACCTCCTCCCGGCAATCCCCTGGCAGCCAAGCAGGTGCCGGAGCACCTCGGCCTGTGGGACGGGGTGCTTTGCCAGCCCCACGGCCCCAATGGCACCAAGGGCTTCAGCAGCAGCTCCGGGAGAGGAGAGTTCACACACTCACAGAATCACAGAATCTTCATGGTTGGAAGGGACCTCTGAGTACATGGAGGCCAACCATACACAAAAAAACCCAAACAAACCCAAAAAACACCCAACCCAACAACTTCGGGCACTAGAGCATGCCCTGAAGAGCCAGGTCTACACATTTCTTAAATACCTCCAGGGATAGTGACTCCACCACCTCCCTGGGCAGGCTGTTTCAGTGCCTGACCACTCTCTCAGGAAAGTCATTCTTCCTAATATCTAATCTAAACCTCCCCTGCCCCAACTTCAGACCATTTCCTCTGGTCCTGTCATTATTCCCTTGGGAGAAGAGGCCAACCCCCACCTCTCTACACCCTCCTTTCAGGGAGCTGTAGAGGGCAATGAGGTCTCCCTTCAGCCTCCTCTTCTCCAAACTCAACATGCCCAGTTCCCTCAGCCTCTTCTCGTAGGACTTGTTCTCCAGACCCCTCACCAGTTTGGTGGCTCTCCTCTAGACACGCTCCAGCACCTCAATGTCCTCCCTGTAGCAATGGGCCCAGAAATGAACACAGCACTCGAGGTGAGGCCTCACCAGTGCCCAGTACAGAGGGACCATCACTGCCCTACTCCTGCTGGCCACGCTGGTCCTGACACAGGCCAGGCACACTGCTGGCTCATGTTCAGCCGGCTGTCCACCAACACCCCCACGTCCTTTTCTGCTGGGCAGCTTTCCAGCCACTCTGCCCCCAGCCTGTAGCGCTGCCTGGGGTTGGTGTGACCGAAATGCAGGACCCGGCACTGCCCTGGTGAACCTCATCCCATTGGACTTGATCCAACCTGTCCAGGTCCCTCTGTAGAGCCTTCTGACCCTCAAGCAGACCAACACTCCCACCTAGTTTGGTGTCATCTGCAAACTTACGGAGGGTGAACGTAATCCCCTCATCCAGATCATTGGTAAAGATATTCCATAAGACTGGCCCCAAAACTGAGCCCTGAGGGCACCACCAGTGACCGGCCACCAACAAGATTTCACCCTGTTAATCCCATTCTGGGTCGCTGAAGTTCCATTACGTTTGGGTTTGGGGATTTTTCTTGTCTTTTTTTCCTTCTCTCCAGCAGAACACCTCCCCGTGGCCCCCCGGGAGCTGCTACCCCCCTTAAAGCGGTTCTGGAGAAACAACTTTTAATTGAAACAACTTTTTAACATTTTCACACAAGAGGAAAGCTCCCATCGAAGCTACTCTAAACGCCCCTTCCTCAAACACACTCCTCTGCCCAAATACCCCTGCTCAAATACAACCCTCTCCACAACTGAATGCCCCCCCTCCCTGAATACACACAACCCTCCCCCCCCATCATCTCTGTCTCTTCCTTGTGGTGGGACTCGGCACCCCCCTCTGCCCCCGGCCCCCTGCGAGAGCCCTGTGCTTGCTGGGTTGTGTCGACAAGGGGCTGGTCCCCTGCTTTGTCCCTCGCCTTTCCCCCAGGGTGGGCATGGCTGGGGGCACATCTCCATCCCCACATCACCCCCAGGGCTCCTAGAACTTTGTCCCATAGAGCAGTTCCTCCAGTAAGCTCACGGCCTCCGTGGTCTCCTCCAGACTGTAGTTGGGGCTCAGCAGCTTCTCGGGCATCTCAAGGGAGTTTAAGTCAAAGCGGGGGACAGTTGTGCCAGTGTCCCCAGGGTCCCTGGGCCTGGGGCTGTCTTGGCCAACCTCCTCAATGCCGCAAGAGCAGCGTAAGAGCCTCATGGGCTCCTCCAGAGCCACCTCCTGGGGCACCGCGAGGTTCCCGAGGCATTGGCTGTGGGGGACAGTAGCGGAGCTGGTGGGGACACTGCTGTGTCCAGGGAGATGGCGCTGTGCCAGGAGATGTCACTGTCCAAGGAGATGTTGTTGTGTGGGGGCATGATGTTGTCCAGAGATGTCTCCACAGGGGTTGCTGTGCTGCAGGTGGTGGTCTCTGAAGACCATTCCTCGATGTTCTCATGGGCAGAGATGTAGTTGGCAGTGTGGTGGGTGCTGGGGCCGCTGCTCTCCCCTCTCTGCCAGTGTCACCTGCGTCTCCAGGACTCGGGCTGCTGCCAAGGCTGTCCTGGTTGACCCGCGCCAACTCCCAGGAGAAGTCCAGGAGCCTCTGGGGCCCTTGGTGATTTTGGGGATATATCTTTTCTTGTCTTTTCTTCCTTCTCTCAAGCAGACTAATTCCCCCTGGCCCACAGGAGCTGGGGGCAGTGGAGGTGCAGCTGCTGCAGGGACAAGAGTTCTAGGGGCAGGAGGGTGCTTGGGGGGTCTGGATGTGTGAGAGACACTGAGCAGCAGCGGGGCCAGGAGCTGCGCCAGGCCCTGCCGATGGCAAGAGGACTGCGCCTGCCGGGGGTCCAGAGAGGCTCCCACCACCCCAGGGGTGTCCCTGGGCCATCCCTGGGGAAGGGGCTCAGCCTCTTACCCCGGGGGGACCCTGACAGGGACCGGGGACCTCCCCCTGCACCTTCTGTCAGCCGGACCCAGAGAGGGGTGGCTGCTTATCCAAGGCACGGTGGCTGCGTTGGCCCCGGGCTCTGGAGCTGGGATGGGAAAGGGGCAATTAAGAGATGAAGTTTCCAGGCACTTCCTGGCCAGTGCAGTGATTTGGGTTTTTTTATTTATTTATTTTAATTATTGTTGCATTTTTCCCCCACTTGCTGGTGTTGGGGCTGCCCAAGGTGCAGGCAGAGAAGGGGAGGAGGGTCCCTGCCTGGCCTGCAGCTCCCTCCCTGGCCATTCCTGGGGTGATTTGGGGTGACTTTGCTGCAGCTTGTCAGGTGAAGCCGGGCTCTGGAGCCGAGCGTGGTGGGACCCGAGGGCGGGTGGGATTGTCCCCAGGCTTTGGGGGACTCTGTCCTGAGCCCTGTCCCCGCAGGAGGAGACACTGGCCGGTTTCCAGTCCAAGGTCTTGCAGCCCGTGTGGTTGTGTGTGTCTGTCCCACCTGGGTCCCCAAGGGCTGTCTTTGTCCCGGGGGCTCCGTGCTGCTTTCTGCGTGGGGCCGTGTGCGTGGGTCCTGCAGGGACCCCTCTGTCCTGGCTGCCCCTGGGGAAGGGGACAGGGGAGTCCCCCCCTGGCCACTGCCAGCCGGCTGGTGGTGGCTCGTCTCTGGGGGCAGCTCGTTGCCCTTTGGGGCTCGCGGGCTCCAATCTGGGGCTCATCGGGGCTGTGGCACTTGCGTGGTGCTGATTCCTGGTGCCCCCTGCGCTCCCTCCCTGATTTGGGTTTTTTTATTTATTTATTTTAATTATTGTTGCATTTTTCCCCCACTTGCTGGTGTTGGGGCTGCCCAAGGTGCAGGCAGAGAAGGGGAGGAGGGTCCCTGCCTGGCCTGCAGCTCCCTCCCTGGCCATTCCTGGGGTGATTTGGGGTGACTTTGCTGCAGCTTGTCAGGTGAAGCCGGGCTCTGGAGCCGAGCGTGGTGGGACCCGAGGGCGGGTGGGATTGTCCCCAGGCTTTGGGGGACTCTGTCCTGAGCCCTGTCCCCGCAGGAGGAGACACTGGCCGGTTTCCAGTCCAAGGTCTTGCAGCCCGTGTGGTTGTGTGTGTCTGTCCCACCTGGGTCCCCAAGGGCTGTCTTTGTCCCGGGGGCTCCGTGCTGCTTTCTGCGTGGGGCCGTGTGCGTGGGTCCTGCAGGGACCCCTCTGTCCTGGCTGCCCCTGGGGAAGGGGACAGGGGAGTCCCCCCCTGGCCACTGCCAGCCGGCTGGTGGTGGCTCGTCTCTGGGGGCAGCTCGTTGCCCTTTGGGGCTCGCGGGCTCCAATCTGGGGCTCATCGGGGCTGTGGCACTTGCGTGGTGCTGATTCCTGGTGCCCCCTGCGCTCCCTCCCTCCCTTTCCCCCTCCTCCCCCCAAAAAGGCACAGACCGGTTCTGGAGAAACAACTTTTAATTGAAGCAACTTTTAAACTTTGTAACACAAGAGAAAAGCTCCCACCGAAGCTACTCTAAACCCCCCTCCCTCAAATACACTTCTCTGCCCAAATACCACCCCCCAAATACAACCCTCTCCACAACTGCACAACACCCCCCTCCGTCCCCGGCCCCCTTGCAAGAGCCCTGCGCTTGCTGGGTGGTGTTGATGGGGGGCTGGTCCCCCGCTTTGTCCCCCTCCTCTGCCCCAGGGTGGGCATGGCCGGAAGCAGCTCCGTCCCCACATCCCCCCAGGGCTCCTGGGACTCTGGCGATGGCTCCCTGACCAAGTCCCCACAGGGCTCCTGGGACTCTGGTGATGGCTCTGGCCCTACGTCCCCCCTGGGCTCCAGGGACTCTGGTGATGGCTCTGCCCCTACGTCCCCCCAGGGCTCCTGGGACTCTGGAGATGGCTCCCTGACCAAGTCCCCACAGGGCTCCTGGGACTCTGGCGATGGCTCTGGCCCTACGTCCCCCCTGGGCTCCAGGGACTCTGGTGATGGCTCTGCCCCTACGTCCCCCCAGGGCTCCTGGGACTCTGGCGATGGCTCCCTGACCAAGTCCCCACAGGGCTCCTGGGACTCTGGCGATGGCTCTGGCCCTACGTCCCCCCTGGGCTCCAGGGACTCTGGTGATGGGC